CATTTAAATTTTAAAATGATGAGACCCTGCCAGCAATCTAGAACTTCAATTAAGTTCATAAAGTCTTGGCACTAAATAGGGAACCTTATCAGAACAATTACTGCATGCTAAAATCTTTCAAATGCCTTTGAGATATCTAAAGCAACAGCCCAATCTTCACTATTTTCTCATCTAATGCTTTAAAGACTCTTTCAGCAATAACTGTTAAGACATCAGTAGTTTAGGTCAACTAAAAAATGTGACAGTGACTTCCAACTGTACACACGATATAGCAAAAGATGCATTCAAAAACTAAGCAACATATTATGAAACATGAAAATCTCATTAGAAAAAAAGAAAAGAGTGCTGAATTTTTAAGTAATGTCAATCCTCTTGTATGGCAGTGAATGCTGGACTATCTCTTTACAGAAGAAGAAAAAACTGGCAGTAACAGAAATGTGATTCCACAGAATGATGCTAAGAATTCCATGAATGGAGATTTAAATTTTTTCTATTTGGATAGAAATTTACTAGTTACTTTTACATCAACCAAATAGAAATATAAAGAATTCTGTACACTATTTACATTATTCGGACTATTATCCTCATTTTTGTCGCCATATTCATTACGTTTCAGCTGTTGTACACTCCACCCTTCTTCAGGTGGTTGGACTCATGGCACAGTGGATAAAGGCGTTCGTTAGATCCAGTGACAGGATCCAAAGAGTGTGAGTTCAATACCCGGTTAAGGCAGTGGAGAACTTGCAGAGGGGAATTAACAGGAGATAACTGATAACTGACATCAATTAAACATGGCACGTGAAACTAGAACAGTCTACCCCAGCAAGCAAAATAAAGGGTTCAGTTCAACATTCTTACCACCTAAAGAAGGCTGGAGCGTACAAGAGCTAAAACGTTATAATAAATATGGTAACAAAGATGAGGACAATAGTCTGAATAATGTAAATAGTGTACATAATACCTAATACCTAAGAGAAAAAAGAACTATGAGGAAACTAATATTTAGAATCAGAAAGAGACAGCTAAAACCTTCTAGGACTCATAATGGGGGTAAAAGAACTAGTTATTTAATACTAAGAAGACATAATGAAGTCAAGCACCAATCATCCTCTTCACACTCCTTCCTGGTCTTTTGAACAGGAGAAGAAGTTTATCCCTTGTTTCCTGTTTAGAATTGGGCTTCTGGTTCTTTCTAAACACTTATCATTCTCTTTCATTCCTAGTAGTTCTTTATGTCTTAGTGGCATTATTGTCTTACTTGGGGTGAATTGATTAATAAAAAAGAAAGAAAGGTGAAATAGTAAGTAATCCATTTAACATGCTTGTATGAATGGAGTACAGAATAAGAACAAAAAGGAATGATAAGAGATCAAAAGTACTTAGAGCAACAACAAGAAGTTGTGGAGAGCTATGTTTGTCTCTGTCCAAAAAGATACAGAATTAGGACATAGGTTCTGGAGGAATTAACATTCACAAGATATATTAATGGCAAGTAACATATTTAATGGATTTTTGGGAATGGATGTCAAAACAAAGAAGAGAATAGAACCACCTCTTAACTGCTGTTATTCCCAGGTCCACCCTGACATAGAGTGGTAGCACCTGTTAGGGCCCTAGCTACAGGCAAATAGTGACCCCCCCTTAGCAAAAGCAAGACACTATGAAAGTATAAACATATATTTTTATAGTAAAAATACCAGCAATACATTTTATCTGTAGTTGAAGGTATACAACTGCATTCAAAATATTTAGATTTCAGCATTAAATAAACAGTAGAGGTTGATATGCTGCTAAACAAAATCAACTAACCAACTTAAATCACTAAGAGACAGGATGTTGTGGTGAGCCATGATTGTACACATTCTGAGGGCATATGGGGCATAAAAGAAGACAATTTATACTCATTACACATGCACTATACATTATGTAGATGACAAACAAATAACACGACTTCATTAAAATGTATGTATAATCTTTCATGCAAAATTATTTTAATTGTGAATATGTCACTTTGTCATACTATAGAGAAAAACAATAAAATCTGAACATCACAAGAATTATCTACATTTGAAAAAATATATTCAGATAAAGAGAAAGAAGAAAAACAAATCTTATCTATGTCCACGTGTAGAATTCACTCAGTACATGCACGCAAAGAATAAACAAACAATAATCAAAGAATAAACGAACCCAGGATTGACGACACAAAAAGGTCATTCAGTTCTATTGGCCAGGAGAAAGGGAAACAATTTCAGTAAACTGAAAAAGTACACCACTCCTTATAAGAATGTGAGTTCTTTTGACAGAGAATATTTAACAATGAAAAATATGGCACAAGGCTGAAAAAAATGTGGGCAGGAGGGCCTTAGTCTTCATTAACGTAACATTTAACTCAGCTTGTCACATTTACTGACCCAACCATTCTTCATTGTTCCTTTCACCATAAGATTGCATCTATTCTGAAATCTTTTATGATTCAATCACGTTCTCTCTATGAAAATTCTAATGAAACCCATATTCACAATTTCATGTGGAAGAAGTTAAAAAACACAATTGATTCATAAAATTTAAAATTTATCTCAATGATTTGGATGAAATGAAATATATCTCCAAAAGTATGTTAAAATGTATCTTTGAAAATAATCCAATATGGTAGAATTATAAGTTAACCATATTTTTAAAATCATTTAGCCACAAGCAAGGTGATAAAGCCAGTAAGATATGAGGCATTACAGACAATAAAAGAAACTGTGAAAACATTACTGAGGATAGAGAAAACAAAAAAAAAGATCAGTATTCATGGATACAGAAGACGATGATGGGAAAATCCAAAAATAAATAAATAAAATTAAAAAATGAAAAGTAAAAAAAATAAACAAAATATTCCCACATCATCTGAAAACTTCACTTTCTCTCATCTAATCGAAATAAAAGAACTTAGAAACCATTGATTGGATTTTCCTCCCCATGTTTTTAAAATCTGCCACTCTCCTTCAGTCTGTGAAAACTTTTTTTGGTAATAGAGAAGTCTGAAGTGACAGGGGAATTATGTTTGCCTTATGTCCTGCTAAAATATCCAGCCAGGGGTTGCAGGTAAGCAAATACCAACAGAATGGATCCTGTATCTCAGTAAACAGTTTCCCAGGGTTTTTTTCTCCAGATAAGTTGTGAAGAGGTGATCAAATTTCTCATTACATCAGCATTTTGGTCTTCTCCCTCAGAGGAGGCTCTGGCCCTCAATGTCCAGCAACTTGACAATTACATTTGATTATATGTCAACCCAGAAAACTTAACATAATTTTTTTCTTGGTGAAGCTAAGTTTGGACAGATTACCTAGCAGCCCATCTTTATTTACAAAAGATATGCATGAATTCTGACTAAACATGGCAGATTGTTCTAAGTATTTTGAGGGGAGCCCCCTACTTGTCAGTCTTTTGTTGATTTTGATTGGAATTTCTTCTTTATTACTTTTTTCTTTTTGTTCCTTTTAATTTTATTTCTTTGCTTTTTTCCTCTTCAGAAACCCTTTTTTTTGCAGGGAGTTCTAAATAAACCCTTTGTAGCTTTGTCAAATTCTTTGTCAGCTATTTTTTTAAAAAAATAATAAAAATAAAATCCTATTTTTATGTTAATATTTGTAGAAGTAAAAACTGCTTGACTGTATCAAGTCAGGTAGTCAGAAAAAGTTAGTGTAGCACTAAAAATGTTTTAAATAATAGCAAAGAACAGAATTTTTTTTGTTGCCCTTTTTGCTCATATATATATATATATATATATATATATATATATATATATATATATATAGTGGTGGCATCCTAAATTTCCAGGAACCAATTCTTTAAAGGCAGGTAATCTTTAGGAACCTACTCTGCTTATTTTCTAGTCAATCTGAGATTTGAAGCAAATCACTTTATAGTATCAAAAGAATTAAACCATTCTGATAATTCAACAGAGAACATTAATTTATTAAGATATTTCCAGATAGAAATTCTGTTCTCATCATATTTCTATTCAGAAGTATGATGCATTTTAACTAGCATCATCAGCTGTGTTATGGTTTCTTAGCCACATTCAAACTAGATCCCTGCAGTCCCAATGGGAGACCTATCAATTTATGACTAGAAGATTTACAACTTCAAAACAGTAGGGGGCGTGTGTCTATTAGAGTTTCACTAAGCGTGCCCACAAGCTTAGTGTAACTAACATTTTACCTAGACCATTGGCTATTAATATATAAGATTATTTTCGGATAATCCAACAGCCAGTTCGCTCAGCTTTTATAATTTTAAGAATTGGTTTGATGCCACCGCTGTATATATATTTTCTTATTACTATAATTGTTTTTGTTAGTGGGTGCACATGTTTCAGTTCTGATCACTGTATTTTATTTTATTAAACGGTGAAAGTAATGACAACTGGCCTAGATCGAGAAATCCTACAAAAGAAAAATTATGCCTCCAACAGGAACCAGACCGGCATTCCTTTTTTTCTGATAGTGGAAAAGACTCTTTTTCACCTAAACTGTGCCTCTACCTGTTCAACCACATATATAGATGAGGGTGCTGATAAATTTTTGTGTTCTTACCTTCCTTCCCAAATCAGTATTTTCAATGAATATTTATTTGGCAAAGTATGTTGGACCAAGAACTTTTCAGCACCCCTCATATTTATGCATGAATATATATATATATGTGTGTGTATGTGTGTGTATACCTTCCTCTGTGAATAAATCAGTATGATATTTGAAATTATTTATATATTTTATTATTTTAATGACCAATATTGTTTTTGGAATCTTATTGTATGGTCCCAATTAAGATCAACTTGACTAATTAAACTGTCTAATTAGGCATGGGAAAATATTTCAAGCTTGAAGTCTCATAATATATCTATAGAATGAATAAAAAAAAGACATCACAATTAAAATAGCTGAAATAAAGGTTTTGCCTCAGCTGGAAAAGATGTAAACAAAAACTGTAAAACCTTTTTTGTTTTTTACCTTATAACCATTCATAACAGGAAACATTGTCTTTGTTTCACAGCCTGACTTTTTGTTACTCAGAAAGATTAAGAAAAGGAAAAGGAAATGAAAAAGAAGCCAGAAAGAAGAAAAAATAACTAGCAGAGATAGGAAGAGAGAAAATGAAGAGGAAATGTTAAAACTGAATAGAGAAAGGCTGAGTGAGAGGAGAAAAAGATGGATCAGTTAAAAAAAAGGAAAATGAATAAAAGGGAAAGGGGGGAGAAGACATTATGAAATGATTCTTTTTTTTTATGTAATAAAAAGAACATGAGAATGAAAAGGGTTTAAAAATGGGTGGAGCTGACAGTTAAGAATGAGAAGAAATTGAAATAAAAATGAGAACAAATTCAAAGATGAAGTTGGTTAATGAGAAGATTAGAGAAGGTAAGCCAGAAGAATGATACAAAAAAGACTAAGAATAAAAAAAAACAGTTAAAAAAAAAAGAGCATACAACAGCAAGAAGAGTGACAGGCAAAAGAAGTCAAAGAATATGAGAATAAAAAAAAAATGGTAGAAAGAAAAATCGCAAGGAGGGAGGGAATCTTAAGAAAATGTAATAAAAAAGAAGAATATTTGCTCCTGGAAAAGGAAGATCAAAGGAAAATAAGTAAATATGAGAAGAATAATCAGATAATACCAAAGATGATGAACAAGAGAAATAATGTGAAAAACTGTAAAGCACATTTTAAAACTGGATATTTTTTGTCTTCAGAGTTAAGCATCATGGGAAAAGGTAGATTTTGCATTTGACCCACATATGTTCATGCTGTAATACACAATTTTTGTGCAATCACCTCATCCAAGCATATAGATTTTTACATCTGAACACATACATCTAACTTGCTTGCTCTGTATCTACACACACACACATACACACACACACACAGATATATATATATATATATATATATATATAGAGAGAGAGAGAGAGAGAGAGAGAGAGCGAGCGAGAAAGATAGATGGCCAGAAGACTGTGTTCAAGCATGAAATAAACTATCACTGTTCGGTGTTGACTTTTTATATTTACAGACACTCTATGCTTTTACTCTATATATATATATGAAGAAATATACTCATAAGATGTGCTATATTTATGGGATAAGTTGCTCATTATCAGAGATAGAGCGTGTGTAAATATAAAAGTAAACATTGAAGTCAACACTTAGAGGCGACAGTCTGTTTCATGCTTACACTTTTAAATATCATCACTTCATCACTGATGATACCTCAAATAAGTTTTGAGACCTGCAAGAGTACCAAAGTTCTTTCCACAATGCCAACATGTCAGTCTTCCTGTGTAAGTGTTGCATGGGTCCTCTGGCTGATTGACACACTTATAGAAACAAACACACACACACACATATATATATATATATATATATATATATATATATATATATATATAGATATGCCTAGTGAGCCAGACAAACCTACCTAGGTTTCACCTAAACGGATCATCAGGGAAAGTTTGGTTTTTTCTTTGGGCTTCAGACCTGCATCTGTACGATTTTTTTGTCAGCAGAAGTTCATGTTTGTAGCTCTTTCTTTTTTTTAAAACCTTTTTTTCCCTCGAGATTGATTTGATTAGCAAATCAAAAATTCAAGGGCTTTTTGAAACGAGTCTAGTTATCTATATTTATATGTATATATATATATATATATATATGATGGACTCTCTTATTGTCTTTGATGTATGAAGATTCAGCAGCTCAGTTCTTAGAACTTAACAGTCAGACTACCCACCCATATGATTTGATTCTAGTTATGAAGGTTTGTGCAGAACCAATCACAAGACAGAGAACTGGTGCACATAGAGTGTCACAAGGTCTCCAAATATCTTTACTTTGGTTTTGAATTCAGAGTTCTTTTTCCCCTAAACTAGTTGCCAACCAAGGTTAAAGATTCCAATTTTCCCTACTATTTAATTGGGGGGAAATGAAGAGATGAATTCATACCTTTACCAAGAGTATTTGCAGATAATTGAATGTGATGAACTTGACTGGAATTTGAACTCAGCTCTCTGAGTCACTATCCATTACACACACACACAAAGGTTCATATCTCCATGATGAATTTATCATCAAGGTGACTTTATGTTATTGGCTTAGGGAGGTAATCCTAGTGTCTGGCGCCAATGGAAAGTGATTTGTAAAATATACCACATGTTGACCCAAGACTCGTAAGCAAGGTTGGTGAGACAAAACATTTTAGAAACTCTCAATGGTTGTGTTAGCACAAGTCTCAAGTCATTAAGTCTCAAGTCATCATTGTTCAAATTGATTATGACATATAAACAGCATACTTAGGGGTATGGAGTGTCTATTCAAAAAATAACATTTAAAGTGATAAAAAATATGTCAGATTAATAAATATTAATTGCTTTCTTTAGAAAAATTGCCTTGTTTATGTTTAGATACAAAACTCTACAGATATGAAAAATTCCAGGAGATCTATGACAGGAGAAATTTCACTTAAATGTACAATTTTGGCCTTGCCTGATCAACGTGTTCTCTGTAGCTCAGTTGGTTAGAGCATGCTGCGTCTAATGGTTGATCACTTTACTGAAGAGGAGACAAATTCAAATCCTGCCAGAGGGAGCAAATTTCTATTTAATAAGATTTCTCAAATAATCAGGCCAGTAGGTGGAAATAAATAAATATGCCACTTAATAAATAAATGAAGTATCTACTCAAATATGAGTATCCACTCAAAATAACATTTAAAGTGATAATATATTTGACGATCACTAAAGCGTGAAACCCAGGGTCATAAACTCACATCTATCCAACCAAATATATATATATATATATATATATATATATATATATATATATATATATATATATATAAAGTAGATGCTTGAAAACAAGAAAAAATTTGAACTAAACCAAAAACCTACACCCACTAAGCTGATGATATATAAGTAAAAAATACATGAAAAACTTTTAAAAAACATCTCAGTTCTTAACTGGAATACATATAATAGATTTAATTACCTAAATATATCAATTGACTTAAATAGTGAAAACTTAAAAATCTTTATTTATAAAAATAACCAAATTAAATCCACACCTCCTTAATTACAAGTGAATGCCCACAAAGATATAAAATAGCTTCCTTAAATAATTTAATAAATAGAGCACATTTAATATTTTCTGAAGACTCAAATTATCATAGTGAACTCAATAACAGAAGATAAATATTAATTAACAATAATTTTCCTAACCGCACAGTGGATAAACAAATTAAAATAACATTAGAAAAAATAAAGACAAAAAATAATTCAAATAAAAATAACACAAAAATTATTAAACTATTCTAAAGGAATTTTCCTAATCGCACAGTGGATAAACAAACAAGATGAAATAATGACAAAAATAAACAAATTATGATTATTTTTTATTACAAAAAATTAAAATCATGATAATCACAACAAAAACAAAATTAAAACTTTTACAAATTAATGTTGTTTATGAATTAAATGCCCAATTGGAGAATGCTTCTCTGTTAACAATTCAAATACATAAATTGATTTCATAACTACATTATCACACCATTTGACATGCTACTTATTGTTATAAAATAAAATAAGACATATCTCGGCTGATTTGCAGACAAATAAACTAACATACTCAACAGTGAGAGCCAGATGTGAATGGGACAAGGCCCTGTCACAAAATGACCATTATCGTCGTTTGCGCATAGGCCATACGCACGAGTTCTGGTCGAAAAATAAAATAATATTTTAAAGTGTTTCTATTTTTCAACTAATAAAAATGCTTCCCTCCTAATTATACTCACATCGTTTTCAAGCCTGTTAAGCCATAAAAATGCCAAAAAAGGGATCACACAGGGAAGTACTAGCAGTCAACAGGAGGCCAGGGAAGAGACATGTCACAGTCAGTCAGCAGCAGTCAGAAGGAGGAGCGCCATGCCAACCAGTGAGAACTACTATGAGAGATCAACCCAGATCAGCTGCCGACTTATGAACTATACCATAAGGTAGCTGTCCCAAAACCACACATTCCTATTGAAATAAATCACGTAAATCTATTTCTGCTGTTGTCATATGTCTTTCTTGCAACCATACACTTGTCTATAACATTATCAAACAACAGTTCCATTAAAATAGATGTAATCCAACAACACAAAAGAAAACCATAACATGAAATCAGATAAATTCTATCAGCAAAATTGGCACACATAAACTGCAAAATGTGTGTGCAATTGCTTCAGGCATTGACCATAAAAAGTAAACAACCAAAGTTCAACAAAATTTAATCAAACATTGAACTCAGCATTTTCAATATATTTAAAAAAAAAAAAAGACTCCTGAATGAAAGATGATAAAAGCCAATATTTGAAACATGATAAAATGTGATTTACATTATTTGTACTATTCTCCTCATCTTTGTTGCCATATTTATCACATCTCAGCCATTGTACACTCTGGCCTTCTTCAGGTGGTTGGAATGTCAAACTGAACCCTTTATTTTTCTCACTAGTATACACTGTTCTAGTTCCATGTGCAGTGTCTAATGGATATCTGTTATCTCCTGTTAATTCCCCTCTCCAAGTTCTCCACCACTTTAACCAGGTATTGAACTCACACTCTTTGGGTCACTAAATCTAACTAATGCCTTTATACACTGTGCCATGTATCTTTGAGGACATCTGTGTATGAATTTCTGGGACTTATAAACCTAATGTCTTCAGCAACCATTTTTACCAGATCTCATATTGCAATTTTCATTGTTATTATTGCTTTTCTCTGGCACTCCTTATTACTGATTCCCATATTGTATTCATTTCTATGCTTGGTCGGCTCAGGAGATTTTTGTGACCTAGAATATGTGCTGATTTCTTAAGTTTACGAATTTTCCAATGGTGTTCTTTGTCTATGATCTCAACCAGATCCCACAGAGAATGGTGATCTCCCTTCTCTCTCCATATGTGGTCAGCCATACCTGATTTTTCCACTTCCCCTTATGTTACAGCTTTCTGGTGTTCCTGAACCTTATCTTAAGGGGACGGCCTGTCTCTGCTTTATATTTCTTTCCGCAGCTGCACGGGATGACATACACACAGTCTTTAGTCATGTTCTCCTCTATAGGGGGGGTCTTACTTAGGAGAGATATAAGCGAAGTGTTGTCCAGCTTTTGAAGGTTGTTCTGATGAACAGATCCTTTGTATTTTCTCTGATAACCCATTCATATTAGACATAGCACGTGGAACAGTCTACCCCAGTGAGCGAAATAAAGAGTTCAGTTCAACATTCCAAACACCTGAAGAAGGCCAGAGCATACAACAGCTGAAACATGATAAATATGGGAACAAAGATGAGGACAATAGTCTGAATAATGTAAATAATGTCTACTGGTGTTAACTGAAAGGGCCCAGATATGGCAAGTTTTATTTAATAATACTAACTGAAAATTTTAAAAACCTATTAGAAATCTTGAAAAGTAAATAAAAAATAATCATTATTTATGCTATTTATATTTGAACTACTGTCCTCATTTTTGTTGTTATCATAATGGTTCAGCCATTGTGTACTCTGGGCTTTCTCAGGTGTATATTGATCTGGGTAACCTACAGGGAATCAATATGCACCAGAGAAGGCCGGAGGACACAACAGCCAAAACATTGTGATAACATCATGAAAGATAAGGACAATATTCAAAACTAGCAGCATGGCCCGGCATTGGTCGTGCTTGATTCAAAAATCGTACAACTCATACAGCAA